CGTCACATTCTCATTCTTCGCGTTGGAATTGTAGTCAGACCAACTTTCCTTCAGTCTGACTCACAGCACGGTTCTCAATTTTCTGGTTGAGTTTCACCACCTCTCGGTGTTTCATCACCGACCGCAAGTGGAAGTGAAAAATAGTGAAAACGCTGGTGAAAGCCAATCATATTGGTTGTTCATCAGGAATTTCCTTAGATGCCGTCAATGTATTGTAATTGTATTACAGATCGGTAATTGACGGATCCGATTTAGTGGTGAAGTACTAATAATCCGAACAAAACCAACATTCAGAAAATGAAGACAGAAAAGGAGCTCAGAAAAATGAAGTAAAACTCAAGTCCGAGTTTATGCCATTTTGCCCAGGCTGAAGATGAGTTGTTTGTTCATCTGATGTGCTCCATAATATATCTGATCCGCTGTATCAAGCTTCCTGCACTACGCGTTTACTTTGCACGCCAGCTCATCAAATATGAGGTGCAGTGGCGTTTTCCATGTATTGGCACACCAACAACTCCAGGCTTGTTTCCGACCATGGCATGTCGGATCTTAATGCATCATATTCTTAGCACAAGCAAATGTGTTTTCTTTGGTTTTTATCGCGACCGGTCTCTTCCAAGAGCACTGGAGCCGTTGCAGTGCTACAGGAGGAGATGTGGGTATACAGCCAATGCACAAAAATTACAATTTAGGAGACTTAAGCGCGTGACAGAACATTGTGGAATGGCGCTCACGTCCTGCAATGTGCGGTGTAATGTACCCAACACTGCACCGGTTGCACTGTGTCGATGCAGCGCCTGCGTCGCTTCGCAGCATGTGCTCCCGCCCTCCCACAGACGCCCAATCCCAACACACCATGCGCCTACCCCACGGGAAGGCCGCTACCAACACTCCACCATCACACATCCCACAGGGCACCTCACACTGGCAAGCCATGAAGCTGGCAGGAAACAGCACCCTGCTCCAATTTCCAGAACCCCCTGCCGCCACCATACGCTCCCAAGTGCCTTCTGCGGGGCTTGCCTCTGGCCCTGCTGGCCCAACCCCCGCGGCTCCCCTTCCCCAGCCGCCCCCCCACCGAACCTCCCGGGAGGCGGCCCCGCCACCCCGCCGGCCTGGCCCGGCCGGGCAGGGCGCGTCCACGATGGACTACGACATGAACGACGTGCAGTATTCGCTGATCCTGAGCAACGAGATCGCCACCGTGGCCACCGCCCTGCGCCAGAACTCCAAATGGGCCTTCGTGGCGTCGCGCTACGACGACGAGGAGCAGCTGGACGACCCGCTGCTGGAGGAGTTCCTGTCGCTGCGGCAGAAGGTGATGTACTGGGGCAACTGGGCGCTGGTGGACCCGCTGGAGTACCTGTCGCCCTTCCTGGAGGCGATCAGGAGCCAGGAGGTCAGCGGGCCCATCACCAGCGTGGCGCTGTCCTCGCTCATGAAGCTCCTCACCTCCAACGTCATCAGCCCCGCCACCACCAACTCCGCGGAGGCCATCCGGCGGATCGTCTCCTCAGTGCGGGAGTGCAGGTTCGAGGGCACGGGGTCCTCTGCGGACGAGGCGGTCCTGCTGCGCATCCTGCAGGTGCTGGTGGCGGCGGTGCGCAGCGACGTGGGCACCCTGCTGGCCGCGCGCGACGTCCAGGACATTTTTCTGACCATGATCCAGTGGTGCGAGGTTGGGGAGGGCACCCCGGGGAGCGAGGTGTCCGGCGTGTTCACGCAGTCCTCGCGGCAGCTCCTGGGCGAGATGGTGGGCGCGCTGTTCGCGCGGCTGCGGCTCAGCAGGATGGGCGAGCTGGGCGGGGTGGACGCGTGCAGGGGCAGGCCCAAGGGGTCGCCCATGTCGGGGTCCAAGTCCGTGAACAGCGACATGTCCAAAGGCGGCCGGTCGGCCTCCGGTCACTCCGCCTCCAAGTCGGACGCCAGCGCGGCGTCCGCGTCGATGGGCGCCCCGCTGTTGATGTTCGGGATCGAGCCGTTCTGGGAGATTTTCCGCTACCTCATCTCGCTGGCCAGCACGGAATCGAGGGGGCCGGGCGCGGACGACGTGGTGCTATTCGCGCTGCAGCTGATACACACGTCCATCGTGAGCGGGGGCGAGGCGCTGGCGGACCACAGGGGGTTGCAATGCATCATGCGGCAGCACCTGTTCATGGCCCTCACGCGGGCCCTCAGCCGGGGACACCAGTCCATCCAGTCCGCCGTGTTCCAGGTGAATGTCCTCACACAGAGTAGAAGCATCTCGGGCGTGTTCCTTCTGCTCAGAACACGATCTTTGCAAAGGAGCAGGTCACTCCTTTGCTTGGCAAAGTGAGCTGGGTGATCTGTTCCTCTTGATGGCATTGAAACCTCTGAATACAAGGCAACCACAATGGCCATCAGGAAGTTTGGCCAACGCATTCCAGGCGAAGTTTCGCAACTCATCACGAGGGGAAAATGCATCATACAGTGGGTGCCACCCTTGTGTGGAACGTTCCATCTCTGGCTCTGAGGTTTCTGGAATCCAATGTGCAGGTGGTTCTGGCGATGTACAAGCTGTTTGGGGACCGCATCCTGCTCCAGCTGGAGTGCTTCATGCAGAGCTCCTTGCTGCGCCTGTGTGAGGGCAAGGGCTGCCAGAGCCAGGAGCACCAGGAGGTGGCCCTGGAGGCCCTGCTGGACTTCTGTGGCTACCCTGGCTTCCTACACGACATGTACCTCAACCTGGACTGCCGCGTGGAGCGTTCCAACCTCTTTGAGGACATCTGCTCCCTCCTGTCCAAAACTGCCTTTCCCGTGAAGTCGCCCTTGGGTGCAATCCACATGATTTCCCTGGAGGGCCTGCTGGCGATGCTGTACTCCCTCTCGGCGCAGTGCTGCACAGATGGCACCACGGCCCAGCTCCCCCCTGAGCCCAAGGCCGAGCTGCCGAACTACATCGACATCTGGGGCAACCTGCTGGAGGGCCGGTCCCCAGGCCTGGAGGTTTTCATCAACGAGGTCAGCACCAGTGGCAGGGACCAAGTGGACGCTGGTGTGCAGCTCATACGCCTGGAGAAGGCGATCAAGAGGCGGGTGTCAGTTGCAGCAGACCACTTCAACAAGGACTTCAAGAAGGGTTTTCAGTACATGCAAGCGATGAAGCTCCTGCCAGACAAGGAGGACTGCACGGCCATCGCGCACTTCCTGCGTGTGTGCCAGAATCTGGACAAAACCATGATTGGGGAGCTGCTAGGGGAGAGCGACGATTTTTACAAGCAGGTGCTGCAGGAGTTTGCTCAGTCGTTCAGGTTCCAGGACGTGCCGTTCGACCTGGCCCTGCGCATGTTCCTGGACACGTTCAAGGTCGGCGGGGAGGCACAAAAGATCGACAGGGCCATGGAGAACTTCGGCCGAGTGTATTACAAGACTCAGGTCAATGGGCTGATGGCGAGCTCTGATGCTGCCTTCACCCTGGCGTTCTCCATCATCATGCTTAACACTGACCTGCACAGCAGTGGCGTCAAGAAGAAGATGACCATGGAAGAGTTTGTGAGGAACAACAGGGGGATCAATGACAATGAGAACTTCCCCAGAGAGTTCCTGGAGAGCCTGTACAGGTCGATCAGCCAGAACCCAATCAGGCTGCAGGACACGTCAGCTGGCGAGGTGCCCATTGTGCGGTGGCTGGTACTCGACCAGCAGAGCGAGACAGAGAGGGGGAGGATGCTGCGTACCAATGACAGGGAGCTCAAGGGGGGCCACGCGCTGGACAGGGATATGTTCAGCCTCATCTGGGGCCCCACTGTGGCTGCGGTATCTGTTGTCCTGGACCAGGTGAGGACTGAATGATTTTGTCCTTGAGGGTGAAGTGAAAACAACGCACTTGTCACTGCAGATGTTCCAACCCAATGCAGGTAGCCATGTGAGGTTTGCAACTCTGGCAAAGAAAACAGATGAGGAAGGCTGTTTGGGGCTGTTCTCAGTGTCAACCCTTGTTTTCCATTGTAGGCAATAATAACAAGTCATAGCAAGGCATTTGAATTGGGATGAAGGGCAGAGGATGATGGACAATATGTGTTCATGGGATACTGGCACTGGTGCCATCTTCTATCCAGAGAGCATAGGCTTCATACGCAGATTGTGTGCACAAACTGAGTTTAATAGTTTGAAGCTATTTTCATGGAAACACATCTTTTGAAGAAGAAACATCCTGTTGTCCAAAGCTGCATGGTGCAGAATGGGAGGCATCAACGGAAAGGACATTTATGGAAGAGGTGCACTGTGCATGGCATGCCATGCGCTCTTTGCTGCGCCCGATGAGGCGCATGTGGCACCAAAACAAGAACTTGACACATTGATGGTAGAACGTCGCTGGCGCGACTTGACACATTGATCGCAGCTGTGATCCCATTGAATTTGTTTTGTCCAAGCTGCAAACTGCCTGGCGGCTTTTAGAGCGATATGTGCAGAAATCCTTGGTGACATCGCATTTTGAAACTGCCCCTGGCACTGCTACATGGGCACAGCAGGTGGCAACTCTCTGCAGCTTGGTGCATTTGTGGGTGTTGCACGAGCATCCACATGCATACCCCTCTAAACTGTAACAAGGTGACTTGGTGCCTGTGAGGGCCAATGTGACGGCAGTAAGCCTTCCCGTGTCACCATTATCATTGTGCATTTGCACAGACGTCTGACCTGTGGTTGAGATATGGTGCCCTTGTGCAGGCTGAAGATATCACCACTGTCCAGACGGCTTTGACAGGTCTGAAGTTGGCAGCTAAGATCGCTTCTTACTATCGTGTGGATGAGGTCATAGACAGTCTTGTCGTCACCCTGTGCAAGTTCACCATGCAGCTGGCACCTGGTGCCATCAAGCCCATGGTAAATTTTGGCCACAACAGCAAGGCCCAGGTGGCCATGGAGACAGTCTTCTTTGTGGCCAGCAGGTACTGTGGGTTGATCAACTTTTGACAGGAATCCGTTTATTTGGATGGGCTGGGCATGGTGTGGGAATATGCCAGTCAAAATGCCATCTTTCCGATGTGTAATGGCAGACACAATTGCTTGACGATTGGGCTGCCATCATTCAAATATGCAATCACAGCCGTATAGGCACAGGAATTGGAACGGATGTGCAGATAGCTTCCGATTCTTTTTCTCTGTGCTTGAGCTGCCACTGGAGCCACACTGTGTCAACACAGTTGAGCCAGGTCCATGTCATGGCAACTGGTTTGGATCTGCTACAGTTGTCTGTGTTAGCAAGCACTTGTGTATTTTTTTGGGTTAGTGTTGGTGCACTGGAGACTGACGTCAATGTGTGAATTTACCCATCGGTCTTTGGAGTTCCAGCAGCAATTCAAATGCACAGTGTATGAATGCCCTGAAGCTCTGTCTTTTCGACTCACGTACTCAGGTATGGAGTGAGTTAGTGTTGGTGCACTGCAGACTAATGTCAATGTGTAGATTGATCCATTGGTCTTTGGAGTTCCAGCAGGAATTCAAGCCATGTACACTGTGTGAATGCCCTGAAGCTCTGTCATTTCGATTCGCCTGCTCAGGTATGGAGACAGTTTGAGGGCTGCTGGCTGGCGCAGCATAATGGACCTGGTCGTGCGGCTTTACCGCCTTGGTCTCCTTCCAAACACGTTTTGGCAGGAGGCCAATGGTTTGCCAGAGGAAGAGGGGAGATCGCCTGAAACAGAATCGGTCAAAATGACCTCTGACTCAGGTATGGCTGCATCCACCCCAACTGTTGAGTAAGACAAAGTTTGGAACCTCAAACCTTCAATATGTTGTTCAATGGATTTGTACGCCATAGTTGTTGGCATGCAGGCACCCAGGTGCATCCTATGCGCCGAATGGCGTGGTGGCCACCTGTGGCTGAGGATTGCATCCCTGTCAGCAGCAGGCATGATAAGAACGATGTTCTGTTACAGGATCCTGTTGGGGCTGAACTTAAGCCAAAAAGACAAAGTGGATATCCTGTAAATGCGTAACTCACTGGTTTGCTGTGAAACTCCAGAGACTGGACTTGTTGATTAAAGTGAAAAGAGTGATACATTGGAGCACCACTTCTTATCAGGGATGTTGAGTTGGGAAGCGTTCTGTACTGCGGCAATTAGGGTCCACAGCCGATGATGCTGGCTCGGAAAAATATGACACAGCAAAGCAAGTAGCTGGAATGAGAGCATCACACCTCAGGAGTGTTCCCAGGAAGAGAGACAGATTTCGACACAGTATGTTCCAAGCATGAGAACACAGCATCGCATGGTGCAGATATAGCAAACATACTTCACCAGCATGCTTGCAGAAGAGAACTGTCTTTGCCCAGCAGAATATCCACACCCTCATAATATCCAGCAAAACTCTGGGGCTCAATAGTATGGGCTCCATACGATGTTGATGTTCTTAACCAGCAGTCTTATCCATCGCTTCCTTCTGGTGTCCTGCATACAGATTCTAACAGTGAGTAGTCATGGTGGTATACTTTCTGACCCAAAGATGTCTGTATCACAAAACAAACACCGAATATATGCCACATCCAAATTCGTCATAAGAGCAGGTAGTGGGTCTCATGTTGGAGAATCTCTTTCATCAAGAGTGGCCTGGGCTCTTTTTCTGCTTTCCTTTTGGCAGAGCGCTACCTTCTGATCAAAACGACAGATTGTGGCCAGATTGTGGCGATCTGGTGCAATGTTGCTTCACTTCAAACTGTGCCTATTGTACTTGCGCACATTGTCCACTGGTTTCTTCTGACTGCGAATTGTGAGACAGAAACCTGGGTCATACATCAGACAGGATTCTGCCATCGCTTATTTTAGTTGTCTGCCTTGGGCCATAGCCTACTCTCTTCATCATGGTGATAGGGCAGCCAGCCCAGAAAAGTCCCCAACAGTACATCAACAGCTCACATGCCACTGCTGAACACATACTAATAGACGCCTTCAGAGTCCTGGCAGTTTAAGAGGACCTCAGAATGGTTGTCAAGAACCTCCACACCAGAAGAGCAGGCAGAGTTCTCAGGTCCCCAAGCAGTGGAATGAGAGGATGTTGTTATGGTGCACGGAGCGGCATCCACTGTCAGCCTGAGATTCTGCTTGTGTTCTGGTGCAGGGGATTTGAGCAGCTATGCCACGACCAGCCTCTCACGCCTGTTCATGTCTGGCGGCGCTGAGAAACAGTTGACAAGGGAAGAACAGGAAGCGCAGGAGCGCACTGTTCGATGTGTGGAGCATTGTAGGATTGATGAGCTCTTTCTGGATACCAAGTTTCTCCAACCGGAGCCACTCCTGGAGCTTGTCCGTGCAGTCACCTGGGCCTCAGGTTTGTGTGTTTATCATGTGTCTCAGTCGTGTGTGAACGTTGAAGTGCACTGTGTTACCATCTGATGTGTTATCAACTTGTCTACTTACTGTGTACATATATAGTGGACGAACCAGGATCTGTACTCCATACCTCAGGATGAAGCCAGGAGTGAATAGAATAGCTGTCACAGGACAATCAACTGTGCATGAATTCTTGCCGAGCATTCTTTGCTCAGAATTCTTGTGTGTGGGCTCCATTCTGTCATAGCAATCCTGGTACAGGCCAGATGAGACAGGGCCGCTTGCTCATTCCGTGTTTCCACAAGGTGCATGCGTCCATCACCGAGGGAGCTTGACCAGGGCATGTTCTGTTTAGTGTTCCTGACATTGCGAATAACATTTGGCTCATTGTGCTTTTGCGTGGAGATTCAAAACCTATACCAATGGTTGAATTGATTGACTTGGGTCTGTGGCCAGCTGTGTTCCTGCACTTTATCCTTTAAACTCTCCAGGTGGATTGGATTATGAGACAAAACATATGTCCAGGTGCATGTGAGTGTTAACTCGTGCTGAAACCAATTGTGGAACCACAATCAGGTGATATCACACGTTGCATATTCCGATTACTGCAATCCAGTCCAGTAGTTTTGTGGAGGCCAAGGACCTATTGTGGCCTCTCCAAGTAACTGCCCTGAAAGTCACTCCATCAGTGCTCCTTAGTGGGTGTATGTGGGTTTGTTCTGTACTGCACATTACGACAAGTGTGGCAACATGTGAATGCTGAAACTTGATGTGGCTTGCTTGGCTTCCAAAATAGATAGGTCTGTCGTGGCTGATTGGCATCCAATGTGGCTGCCTTGGCAGGGAGCGCGCCACGCCAAATCAACGACGAAAAGACCTCTGTGGTGTGCCTGGAGCTCATGTTTTCAGTCACTATCCGCAATCGCGATCGTATCAACAAGCTGTGGCCTCTGGTCCATGACCACCTTAAATCGGTGATCATCCCTTCAGACAGGCCTATATCCAAGACACTGGTTGAGGCAGGTGTGCTGGGGCTGCTCCGCGTTTGCCAGCGAATCCTTGTCTACAAGCCTGAGGTTGCGGACTTGCTGTTGACGAGTCTTCAGTTTGTGCGCAATTTGGACTCGGAGATGATCAGGGAGATGGCAGAGAAAGTAGCGACGGAGGTGTTGGCTCTCATCAAAGGTGCCGCCTCATTCATTCACCAGGTGAGTGCCTGCACTCAGCGAGTGCTGAGTGGCGCAGTGCTGATCTTGGTTTGTGCCGCAATGGCAAGGGTGCAGGATTGGCTGTGAGCAGAACCTGGGCTTATACATGAAATTATGGCTGTTGCTTTTCTGTCTTTATTGACCAGCGCATTAATCTAGCTGGATTATGACAGCCTCAATATGGCAGATTGATGTTCTGTGGCTTTGGTTTGAAATATGCTCAGATCATGGTGGGTTAGTGCATGTTGATCATTGATCTGCCCTTGTGGAGATCAAAACACGTTGTGGCGAATGTGTGCATTTCCACTGTTGAGGATCAGAATGCAGCGCATTGTTTATAGGTGACAGAGCCGCATATAGGATTGTCCCGATGGGAGCCTTTCTGATTGTTTGTTAGCCAATGTTGGCTTGCTCAGCTGACCAATGCTGTCCTCATGTGCAAGAAAACATTGTTGGGAGTCACAGTTGTGCACGCTGCTGAATCCAACTTGTGCACTCGAACATCCAGAACCCATGACCACATTGTTCTGCTTTGGGAGCAGTGTATGTGCCGATTTCTGTGTTGCCTGTGGGAATCAATCAGGGTTGGGCATGGAGCACGATATGCCTTTTGATCATCTTGACAGCTGCTTCGCCCCCCGCATTCAAGACGGCTCTGGATGCCTTCATACACATTGTAAAAGATGGCGCACATCTCACCCCTGTGAACTTCTCAGACTGCCTGTCAACGGCCCGCTCGTTTGTTGAGCGCACAGCGACCCACCAGCCTGACAGAGCCATCCAGGTGTTGGACCTGATGGGGGACATGGTTGTGTGGCTACCATCGTGGAAGTCGTCACAGGGTGAGAGGCGCCTAGGGTACCCTGCACCCCCAGAGAAGGGCTTGGATCGCGCCCAGTGTTGGTCGGACGTCATCAAAGCCCTGTGCAGCTTCTCCAGCCAGGAGTCCGCCCCACAGGTAGGCCGCCCTGTCGGATGCTCAGAATTTCTGGCTGGGCATGAGTCCAGGGCCAGAGGTGACTGCGTTTGGACAGCGAGATCAATGCAGGACCAGCCGGTGCAACACAGTTGACAGTTAGCAGGCTTGTATCTATCGATGCCTGGTGCGCAAGTGATGTGAATGCATGCCGGTCACATGCGGCCGGTAGTGTGTTGCCTCAGCTGGATGAATGCAGCAGGAGAATTGGGCAACAGGCCTATTGTGCAGAACAGTGGAAAATGCTAGTTATGCATGGTGCTGGCGCATTTCACTTGTTGTCTGTGAGTTCTGCTGTGGAATTGAGCTGTCAGCACAGAGTCAGCTGAGAAGATGCCCAAGGTGTAGATTGTGTGGGTGAATGCACAACAGTACTTGACTACGATGGTGGTCGACACGTCAATTGTTGGTGTGGGTTGCTGCTTGTTGATGTGGACCATTCTCTGTCAAGGCAACCACACACGAGCATCCGCAGGATATGCAACAGGCTTCAAAATGTTCATCGTTGCCTGGGAATACCTGCACATTGCAGAGCACCCATGTCGCACGCTTATCTCTTGGGCTTCCCTCTTTTTGTCGTGACTCGCCTGTTGTCCCCGCCCTTACGTCTGCTGGTGTGGCTGTTCTGTAGGTGCGCAACCATGCAGCTGTGAAGCTCCACAACGCTATTATCATGGGTGAGCAGCTGCAGCTGGACGCCCAGCAGTGGGGCGCCGTCCTGAAATACGAGCTGATCCCTCTTGTTCAAGCTCTGATAACACGAGAGAAGGCATGGGATGTGGAGGAGAACTTCCAAACAGTCAAGCTGGCTGTCAAGACGCTCTCCAAGACCTTCTTGCAATTTTTGAACCTGCTCCAGAAGCTGCCAACATTCTCTGCGATCTGGCTGGAGATGTTGACTGTGCTCCAGGTGAGTCCCTGCAGATACTGATGGGGAGGGGACTGTATGCAGGTAGCATATTCCTGGCAGGGAGGATCTGGAAGAGATTGTGTCTAGTCTGGACATTACTCACAGCTGTTATTAGCCATCTACTCAATTGTTCAGCACATGGGGTGAAGCCCGTGTACAAAGGGATCTGCTGTATGGATGTGCATTTATTGCATGTCTGCTGTTGTTGGCTCCCTTGATGGCACAGTGCCTGGCCGTGCTGCATAGTTGTGCGTGTTGGACACACGGTCCACTGCCTTTTGGTAGAATCGAGCTGAGCCATGGTCACAGTGCATCACAGTAAGTCACAAGCATGTTGCAAGGCCCTAGAGAATCAGCTTGCCCTCGGAGTGAGGCAACTGGGAGAACACGCACTTGTGACAATGGGTGTGATCTGAATATCTGATCGTGCACACTGTTCCCAATGCCTTGCATGCCACTGATAGAAGGATGGGCTTGTTCTCCCCTGCACACCTGGAACCAAAAAGGATGGAGAATGTTGAGAGCATGAGCTGTGTACAGGGACAAGCTCTGTGTTGCTGTCCAAACAGACCATGATACCTACTGCTAGTAGAATTTGTACACATTCATGTTAGCATGCGATGGCAGCATGCGAGAGCCATTGGAAACATGCACTGCGCGTAGTGATGCCTGTTAGTGCCATGTTTGTGGATGACTTTTCCATTGTCCCAGATATCACACAGTAAGATATTGTCCAAATGCCAGCCAAGGCAGTGGCAGTTGTTATGTTAGAGCTGGGCTACTTGTCCAATGCTTCCTTGCTGGCTGGATTCCCACCCTAAAGGCCAGCTTTATCTTAAGAATTTCGCCAGGTCGGGTTAGCGCCATCCCTGCCTGATCTGATACTGTACCACACCATCATTGTAACTTTATAGCGTTGTCGTTGAGCAACTCCATGCGCATGATGAACTTGTGAATCATTTGATGCATGAACATATGAGGACCCTTCCTGACGCATTGTTCATGCTTGCTCTCTTCTTCTCGCAGAAGAGCTGCTACCGGCATAACGAACTGGCCGAGTCTGTCCCCGAGGATGTGAAGAACATGCTTCTGGTCATGGCCAAAGAGGGCGTGCTCACGCAGGACTGGAAAGACTCCAAAGGGAAGAATCTTTGGGAAGCGACTTGGCGGGAAGCCCAACGAATTTCATATGCATTGACACCCAAAATTCTTGTTAGCTGATAGAATCGGTGCTGGAGACTGTTTTGTGCTGGCGATGCGGCTCATGGCATGCGCAGACGTGTGGCAGAGCTGTAACACTCAGTCGCTTGACCAACAGATGGGGGTTCTTGCCAGTAGACTAGTTGCTATGATTCAATGGTGATTCGAATGGATGCAGGGTGCATACGCATGCTGCAGTGAGTGGGTTTGTGACCTGCCAAGTCGATAGCCCTTATGCCCTGAAAATGTGCACCTTCGATGCCTTGGTGGGCAGTTCGGACGAATGGACTAGTGGGCCAAGAGCTGCATTGGCGAACAGGTAATGTACCCCTTGTCAGATTCAGCCCATTTTGCGCGAGGGCGGGTGTGTGGGCGCCGTACCATAGCCGCTGGGGTTGCAGGAGTGGCTGGGGTCGCGTCAAGCATATAGACTTGTTTCAAGAATGTCTGACGTTTATTGCCATTGCTGAACTGCAGTCTGCCAAGGGATGCATGGAAAGTGCAGATGCAGATGGTGACATGGTGGCCCTGCATTTGCAGGATCACCTTGTTGCACTTGCGGGTTGCCACATCTTTTTCTGCTATATTACAGCATATATGCAGTCTTTGTGCTCATCGTGAAGGAGGAAATTTTGTCAATGGAATGTTCAAGGTGAATTCGACTCTATGTGTATGAGAAGAAGTGAGTGCTTCGGCCTTGGCGATCGATAGATTAAGACATACTGATTGTATAAGAGGTTCATGCACTCAGAATTGTGGCTCTCAACAATTTCAGCCAAGAATCGCCCGCTTGGCATCAACAGTCAGATGCTCAGACACGTGCACCTGTGCACAAGTCCTGTGGTGAAGCGTGGACCCAGGTAAATGCCCCGCCTGTTGGCTAGACTACCCCACAACCAAGCAGGGAAGCCATAGCTTCAATGCCCATTCGCTGCAGAGAAGATGGACAGAAACAGCTTCTCAAAACAAACGATGAAGCCCCCAATCCCCAGGTGCCACAGTGGATGGCACTGATTGATTTCTGGGACACCTGGAACACAGGCGAATGGGCTAATTTGTATCCTGAATGCACTGAACAAAGCCTGAGGAATGAACTGAACGATGTTTGGCACAAAGTGCGCAGGTGCTTCTGGGGATTTGAGTTGCCCTTGTCTTGGGTATCACAGTGGGCCGTTGATGGCCAAATGCAAATGGATTGGACCAATTCACACGGCGAAAGCGTATCACATGGTGTGATGACACTCCACCATTCCCTCAGACAACCGAGCACAGTAACCCACGGCCAGAATGAACGAAAGAATTCAGTACGGTCGTCGCCCATTCCAGGCGTTTTCCGTCGCGACGATCAGTTCCTCCACCCGCCCTCCAGCAGCGCCTCTCCCACGCATTCAGCCGGCGCCCGGAAACTCGCATCCGCTATCCCGGCTTCAGAATGCCGGCAATCCGTCCGCCCCAATCAGCAAGCACGCCTCCCATTTTCCCTGTCTCGCACGGGCATTTCAACACCCTAAAACTGGAAAAACCGAAAACGAAAAACCGGATAAATGCTGCGCCAAGCCAGCGCCGCCCTTCGGTGCGCAGCCTCCCCGCCCCGGGCTTTATTGCGCCGCCTCCTCGGGCGTCCGCGTCGTCATGGCGTCCACGGCATGCACCGCATCCTGCAGCTCTAGCCAGATCGCCTTGTACACCATCCGTTGCCGCTCCACCGCGCTCTTGCCCTCGAACGCCGCCGACACCACCTCTATGGCCACGTGCTGCCCGTCGCCGTTCACGTCCCTCACCTCGACCCGGTCCGTGCCCAGCACGTCTCCGATCTTCGCTCGCATGCTTTCCATCAGCTCCCGGGACATCTTGGCTGTGGCCGGGTCGGGCTCGGGCACCATGCCCGGCCCACTGACATGGATAGCCAACGGCGGCTTGGGCCGTCGATCGGATCTGGGACGGGCGAGTATCGTCTGCTTGAAGGGGAGGCGCGCCGGGCCCGTGAGACCAAGAGGGCAATGATGAGCTCTGGGGAGCATGGACTGAGGCCCCCTGTGGAGCGAGCACCTGTGCATGGTGGCCGCGCGGGAGGGCCTGGGGGAAGGCCGGCGGCGCTTTGTGGGGGGCCCGTCCAGGCCCAGAGGTTGCGCGAAACACGAGTGGAGAATTGGGCGCGGTGTTGGGTGTTGGGGCTTGTAGCGGGCGAATGTGCAGTTGTTGCGTAACCCTGTTTTCGTTTTTGTCATCGCCAACGTCACATTCTACACCGCCAGCCAACCATTGTTGTCTTGGAGCAGCGACAGTGATAGTGATGAATTCATCGACTTTCGAACAAGGAGCGTGAAGTTTGAGTGGAATCAACCTTTTTGTGCGAGTCGGTAGATCTGAACGGCGCCAGGGAAAGGGACAAGCTTTTTGTACGTAATGTGCCCGTACTTCGACCGCAGACTGTTTGTGCAGCACGCACACACAAGTGTTTTTACACCAATGGAACTGAAAGGAATTAGTTAGTGCATGTATGTTTACAACCACCAACGTCCCATTTCCGCAGTCCATCGTTCAAGCCTCCATCCCTGCGATCCTCTCCCCATACACAACATTCACAAAAAGGTTCTCCTGCAGCGTTCAAGAGAATTTCAAAGCGCGCCCTGCAACACAAGACAACTTACACACCAGTGGCGTTCTGAGGCGCAGCACCTGCGCCCATTCCCATGGGGAATCCAGCTATCACAGTCTGCACCCATCTGCAAAAGGGGCACCACACCCTCATGTGTCTGTTCTTAACAATTTTCCCCGCAATCCACACCCCACATTCGCCAGCCCCTAAAGTGAACAAATGAAAGCCTGGTGCGAAAACTCACAAGTCTCCCACGAACATCCCTTGACAACCCTGGGTTACCTATTTGACCAGACAGAGGTCCAGTCAGAGACTGGCATCTCAAGCACCCACCCATCAGCCCCCGGGCATTAATATGGCGCTGGCCGCTGAGCAGGCCTCCCTCGTCTCTCCGGCCCACCAGTAGATCTGGACAGCTCGTCACTGTGAGTCCCACTGGCCCCAAAGTCCCATCGCCTCCCCATAGCACCAAAATTGTCGTACGCACTGTCCGCCTGCTGACTCTTGGTGCGTCTGTGCTGCGACATGGCGATTCTGCTCTCGAACCCTCCACAACAATCCCCATTGTAGGAGTGCCGGTGCTCCAGCCCATCCCCTGTCTGCCCTGAGTAGTCAGTCAGCCTCCACTCCCCATCACCGTGTGGCATGCCCACCTGCCAATCAGGGTGGGCAGCATGTGATCGCTGGCCAGCATCACTGTTCGAGCGCCGCAGACAATCTCCATATGGACGATGCCCTTGGTACCCCTCCTGTCTTTGGTGGCTACTGCGCCTGTCATGTGCTGCGTCGAATCTATAACGGCCTCTGGCTTGTTGGCCACTGCCATTGGCATATACATAGCCATCACCCTGGGAGTACGGGTGTCGATGACATTGATCTGGCCGTCCCCGAGGGGCAGTGGGCCGGGGATACCTGTCTGGGTCGTTCTGTAGGTGGCATGAGAAATTGTGGTGAGGGCCAATGGTCTTCTGGCCAGTGTGCCAAATCTGTGGCGCGTCGAGAATGTGCACATGGCGTATGGGCACAATTCTTTGTCATCATGCAGCCTTAATGGGCAGATATTACCATCGGCCAAAAAATGGATGAGAGATCCTTCATTGACACGTGCAATGGCACAACAGGAATGCATTAAAGAACCCATTGCTACCCCTAAAGTACACAACTTGCTTCCTTCAATAAATGAAGACAGTTCACAACAATGCACCCACAGCATAAACTGCAGAGTCAACTGCTTTGTTCCATTCTGAAACATGCAAAGATACAATGATGTTCTTTTTCCTGCAAGATGGCTGCCACAACATTGCATGTGAATATAAACTTGATCTTTTGTCGCCTGATGGGTGCAAAGTGGCAATTTGATATCTTTGGAAAATGCCATCAATGCCGATGTCCACCTCCAACCAGGTATTGGGTCATAGAGCTCCACCAGGATTTAGGGGCATCCGGGTTCAGGGCCTCTTGGAAGTGGCACAAACTGGCCTGCAGTGTCTTGCAAGTGTTGGGGCAATGTTGGCTCTAAAGAAAAACCACATAGCCAGCAGCGTGGATCCTCACCAGTTGAGCAGAAATGCCTTGCAGGGGCCCCGTTTCTCTCAGGATCGCCATGGCATTCTCACACTGCTGCACGCTAGCGAAAGAGGCCTTCCTGCAAAAGCAGCAAGATCATAACAGTGAGACCTGTCCCAAGAGGCAGAATTAAATTGACATTGCTGGATTTCGTTGTGAATCAACATGTGCTTCAACCTCAGCATCACGCCCTGCATTCATCAGCGCATCTTGCAGAAGTGTGTTAAACTCATGCCTATTCACAAGTACTGCCACACTGGGCTTATATCTGCAAAAGGATCTCACACTCATGCACACCAAAACTGTGAATGAAACATTTATGGAAACCAATCTTTATTGAAAAGGGGAATTCAACAGATGATGTTGTCCAGATGGTGGAGAGGGGCAGTGTCTCTGCAACCCTACCCTGCCTACTGAGATGCTGGCTCCTGCCCTACACTTGAGAGTTTTGCAACCAATCTGGCGGGCTGGGGAAGGTTCCTGGAGAAGTGTTCAATGATAACAGTGCACCATGTGCTGTAGGCAGGCACCACACTCCAGAAGGGACATCAGCAGACACTTGGTGTGTAACAGAGTCGCACGGCACCAATCTATAGCAAAACAAAGATCTGTACTTGTGACTTTGTGCACTTGTGGCACTTGTGACTCTGACTAAAACACATGTCTAGGAGGCTGGCCAGCCAAAATTGATAATGACCAGACCATGCCACACTCCAATCTCCAGCTTTTGTTGTGCTGGTGTAATTATCTTTTGCTTTGTATGCGGAAATGTATGTCCAGCCAATTAAATTGTAGTGGCCTCCTGTAAAATGCCATGATCCTGGGGAAGACTATGGTCTTGCGAGGACAATTATAG